TGGAGCTCACGAGCTTCAATGTCATGATTTTCGGGGTATCGACCTCCGAGAAACCTTAAATTAATAAATTAAAACCTTGGGGGGACTTTACTGAGCTAGAAGAGCACTCATTTGAGGCTTCAATTCGCTCTAGAAAGAGAATAAATCGCCATGTGTACGACAGCGTCACCCACGGTACGTGAGGAGCATGTGTGCACGTATAGGCATGTTTTATTTACTTCTTCCCACTAAAATTGGCACTGGACATTCCCCATACGATCTCGAGGGTTCTAGTGAAATAATTATGCACTCAGAAGGTGCATTGATTGTTCAACAAGACCTCTTGGTGAATGGAGAGGGCACAATGGCGCCAGGGCACGGCATCGGCCATGTGCGGCCTTTTATTGGGTCTCACTGTCCATTTTCACTATCACTTGAGTTTCCCTGGGGTTTTATTACTCGCGAGAGGTCTAGGATGCCGAACGAGGGCTTTATGCACTCACTGGTGCATTTAATCACTCGCTCGGAGGAGTTTTGGTGGTTGGGAATGCATCTCGGTATCACTCTCGTGAACGCCGGTGCACTTTTCCCGGAGGTTATCACTGGGCACACTGGGAATAAATGCACTTCTCTCCTCGGGAGACAGTGCACATGGTGAACAAAAATGTACTTACCATGTTCCTCGTGTGGGCCCTCGACGATGGTCTCCACCAACTCTCTCGATCGCTGCCGATATTCTCGGGGATGTCGTCGCAATGGTTGCTCGGGTCCAACTCTGTCGTATACTGCGTTTAACCGGCGGATGTTCTCAGCTGGGTGGTGCAACTGGAACGCCGTCTAGCTGCCGCTGGAAAAATTGTGAAAAAAAATTGACTGTAACGTGGTCAACTTTTACTGGGGATAAAAATGAACGTTATCTCGCCCTTTTCCCTTGTTAAAGTCAGAAAACTGAAACTCGATGATTGTGGGCGCCAGTTGTTCTTTGTCTCGACGGAAACAACAAACCGAAATTAGATCTAAGTGGAAAAATACAACAAAACCAAAGATTTAAAAACATTAAAAAACTTAAACTTAAGGGGCCAAGGGAAAGGTGACAGGGTGCTTGCGCTGCTCAGGGGGTCGGTTGTGGAGAGAGGGGTAGGTTCAGGTGGAGAACGGGTCACTGGGCTCTTATCCTAAAAGAAAGAAACGCAAGGCCAAAATTTAATGCTGAAATGTACGGGTCTATATTGTCTCTAAAATTCAGCAAAAGAGTAATAATCGTAATAATCGTGTCAAAAAAATCCATAGTCCGCTCTGAGAGTGAGGGAGAGAGACCAAAAACAAATATATATCCATCAAAATTAATGATAATAATTCCATAAGGTCACAATAATATTGCACAGTAATTAATATCACGCGATGTACGCAGAGAGACCTAAAAAAAAGATGATAAATCCAAAATAAAATAAGGAATCCCAAAAATGGAAATAAAAAAAAAGAATATCGAATCCAATATCGGACGAGAGTTGGCTAATTTAGCAATAATTCAAAAATAATCCCCGACAACAAAAAAAATCCTAGCGCAACATAATTCTCGAAAACGCGCGGGCTCGAGAGCATAAAACGAACACGTGGTAGCTAAAACGACGGACGCGGCGCATAGAATCTACCGAGGCGCGACCTTGAAGCGAAAACCGCATGAGAATTTCTCTAACGAAGGCGGTGAACGCATGGAAAAAATCATCAATAAATTCTAACAGGCCGTCGGCACACAAAAATTCTAATTATTCCGTATTTTCAGGGATATTTCATTCCGAGGCGATGAACGCAACATTGAAACGATCGGAGCGAAATGAAAATAGAACTACATCCCGAGAAAATCGAACGAACGCGAAAATCCCGAATAGTTCTTAAATGAATAAAACGTCTAATTAATTAAGCCACAATGACTGGCAAGACCGAGAGGTAAAGAGCTCGAAGTGTTCGAGAAGGCGTCTAGCGCAGAAGTACCTTTGAAAGTCGGAAACTACACGGCTTTTATCCAAAAATCCCACGCAAAACTCCCGAAATATTCACTCACTTAAACGACATAAAACTATCCTTACGGGTGCGAGAGAGAAGCACGAAATCCACCATCGAAGAGAGAGACAGATGCGAAATCTCTCGCGGCGTCAAAACTCGCAAAATCTGACAGGCGATTAATGCAATTATTGGGCGTTGTTTAAGCTCTACCGCACAGAGCAAGACCTCAAAATCAATAAATTATGATCCAAAAACCCTGAGATGAGAAAACCTACAAAAATGATTCCCAACAATACGAGAATCCCGTAATCAAAAATACTCGTGAAACTCACCAGCGAAACGATGCAAGTACTCCCTGCTTGTCGGCTCCTCGGCAAAGTCTCCACATACGAATCTCCGTGGCCCTCAATTGTCTCATTTCACCTGTCGGTACCCTCCCGATTAACCACAATTGTCTTTAGATTCACACAAAAGAAAAACTCCTAATGATAGTCGCAACGGCGAGAACTACCTGCGCTATACTCACGTATGCCACACGTGAGGATGTTAATCGATACTGACGCTCGATGGGCCACGATGGCGGCTTGGCGCACGCAGATGTGACGTGGACAGAGCGCCACGTGCGCCTGCATGGCGCAACAATTACATGACGGTCGGTAACCGGGATTTCTACCTAACGAAATTCAAATTGAAATAACTCTATACAAAAATTAATTACTACAACGATTGAAATGGATGTCAGAGTGGGTTATTAACTCAAGAAAAATTCCTATTTAACTATAATCTCCTCTCTGGAGTTGTATTCTCGGGATTACGGGGCTAGGGAAATAAATTACGAAGGGACGAACAAAACTTAATTACAAAAAAATGAAAACAATTAGAAAAGTCGAACTCAAACGACCTTGGCGATTCACGCGGGAGCAACGGTCGGGATTGATCGCGTGACCTTCCACCTAACCCAAAACTAACCCTTCCCAAACCCCAAAAATCCACTACTTGAGCGGTAGTATTTCAACTACTCCTACACAATCCCCGAAAATTCGAAAGGAAGGGAAAAATCTCCAAAAATGATCGCGCAGCTCGGTAATATCTCGGCCTCAATCACGAAAATTCTATCGGCTCTATATAGTTAATTTTTCCCCATCCAATTAACAAAACAGACAGCGTGCAACGCAAGGGAAAGATAAAACGAATCCAAAAATACGAAAGAGGCGTCAGAACGCAAAACAAGATTCCCAATAACAAAGAAAAATGATAAAAACAAAAAAGTGTTGGAACGCAAAATCGAAATTCTGATGAATCCAAAATGACTCGAAATCTCTAATTATTAACAAAATGAATTGACTCGAAACTATTGACTCGACTGGGTCATTTTCTCTGCGTACTTACGGTTTTTCCGGTAGTTTTTCCCATGATCCCGCGGCGAGCGAAGGGATTTCCCCATAATCCCTTACACCCCCCATCTTTGCCGGTTCCAAGTCCGTTTCCGCATCGGTCAAGTGTTGTTATCCGTGGGTGGTGGCTTCCTTCCTGCAGCACTGTAGCAATAGTGCTCTCCTCTGATCAGCATCACTCGAACCCACGACCTGAAATAGAGTCTCATGCTCTATGAATAGAGAGCCGGGCAACCTAATAAACGTATTGCATAGACGTAAGATTATTTATTAATTATAGCCTTTAGGCACCAGGTACATTCAGCACAGCCAGAAAAATGGATTAGTACGCTATTCGTTATGGCAAAAATGCAACAAAAAATCCCATTTAAGTGTTTTCAATACTAGACACAGCAGGCAGTAATAAGCTCAAAAGCAGACGTGATTAGCACAACAACACATTCCTAGTCAGCAGTGGTAATCCAAGCATAATATAGGCACTCAGCACATTCACCTTTGAACGCTAACATTACCGAAGCAAATGCATAAGGCACAGAGGCAAAAATATTCACTATCTTAATCTAATGAATTAAGTATAATTTAATTAAGAACAATAAAGGTGCTGGGCTTATGGCCATGGAAGATGTGGATTTCCCAAACTCCAATCTTCAAATTGTATCGCGTTTCCGCAGTCTCTTATCTCTCCTGGGAAGTGATATTGAGCGGTGGTATCCGCAATGTTTTACAGGGTGTCCCATAGTATGTGACAAAAGTAAATTGCGAATAACTTGAATACGGTTAAGTGTAACCTCATCTGTGGTTACAGTAGGTGAAGGGCCAGGATTCTCATGCCTCCTATCGTCTAGTGTACCGTATCGATCAAATTTCTCAATTAACCTGAAAATACCCATGAATTGGTCGAAAAATGCGTAAATCTTCAAAAAAAAAAAAAAAAAATTTTGGTTGTCTAGTTCATTTACTCTATTTACCGTGTGAGACTCGAATCAGATACTCCAGTATGTGTGCCATACTTNTCTCTTAATGCTGCAGTAGTTAAATCTCCTCTTCGGTAATATGATTTGATGAGGAATGTTTTTTGTTCAATGGTTTTCCATTTTAGTGTTCTAATTCGCGAGCGACTGAATGGATGAACTTTGCGTATGGATGAAATTTGCGGAGAGTCTCCACTTCAACCATATATTAGACTTTAGACTGCGCTATCACCTTGCGGTATACAACGCAATTTACTTTTGTCACATACTATGGGACACCCTGTATTTCTCGTAACCGACGACTTTGAGGGGTGGTATCTGCAATGTTTTATTACTCGTAACGGACGACTTTGAGCGGTGGTATCCGCAATGTTTTAAATTTCTTGGAGTGAGTACTTGCAGTAATTTTGGCTTTCACAAGCATAGGATGACGGTGGTATCCCTCTCTACTGGGGTGGCTTCTTTGGGGTTTGCCTTTCCAAGAATCGAGCCAGCGCTGTGGGGTCTATTGTCGCGATGTTCTCCAACCACTCATCTGTCGTCATTGGCGCCAGGGTGGTAAGTGGATGGGGTCGCGTCCTGGTCTGGTGGAAATTCTGACCGACCCAGGTGGCACTACTTGTGCAGTTGTAGGAGTGATGGATGGGTTGTCCTAGGAGGCAGCTGTTGTTGGTGCAGCAGGCAATGAAGGCCAAGTCACTTGTCCTGAGGGCGATGGTGGGGGTCCTGAAGGAGTGGTGGGGGTTTTGGCCCTGGGAACATCTGTTGGGAGTGTGGCTACAGCAGCATCGTCGATCGAAGGGGTGGCTCTGGGAGCATCGATAGTGGGGTTGATCTTCAGGGGTTCTGGTGATGGCTTGAGGCGTTTCGCAGTAGATTCAGCGTAGGTCTGAGATCTGGCGCGTCCCAGTCTGTCCTGGACGGAAACTCTCTCAGTACTGGCTGAGGGTTGAGGTCGAGAGGTAGAATAGGCACTGGTGGCTTCTCGATTGGTCGAGAGAGCAGCGTTGGGACCTGCTGGTGCAGTTGAGGTCCTTGTCCTACCAGGGGTGGTTGGCCTATTGGCAGAGGGGTCGGAGGGTCTCCTGAGGTTCGTCAGCGTGTAACGTGCTAGGCGGGTGGCATGAGGTGCAGTTTTGGAGCTTAGTTGAGGCAGTTGTCCCTCGAGATTCTGTTCGATGACCCATCTGGACTTCTCATGGCGACTGTCCATAACCACGCAAGTGAAAATGTTGCAGTGCCACTTACCACAGGCTACGCAATAGCCGTGCCTCACGACACTGCAACACTCTGGATAGCCATGGCCATAGCCATGGCACTGGTGCCACCTAACGCCGCGTGTAGCCTTCCTTGGGGGTGGCAAATCTTTGCAATCGGCGTCTGGGAGAATTGGGGCCAGGGGTTCCTCTGGTCTCTGTTGAAGAAGATCCGGGATACTTGGCTCCTGGGGCACTAGCGACGTCGGTGGCTGCTGGAGGATTGTTGTGGAGGGTTCCTTGGGTGTGAGGCGCGCAGCTTCCTCCAACTGTTCATCCTCGGTGGCGTGAATCTCCAGTATGTCTGAGTTACTGGAGGCGATCTCGCAAGGGGTAGAGGTTTTAATCCCAGAGGGATGAAGCCTTTGTCCAGTGGTATCTGGTGTGGATGCTGGGGTACTTGGTGTAGGGGGTGGTGTAGGAGTGGCAGCGAGTGCATCAGTAGGAAGACTGGAACTGAGTTCCAACGGGGTGGCAGCAGTGGCTGCATCCGAACTAAAGATGGCATCTGATGCCGGATTCGAAGGTTTGGAGACGGGCTGGGGGTCTCCAAGGGCCATATGTGCGATTTCCTCGGCGATGCGAGTAGCTTGTTGACCGGCCCCCATCTCAGCATCTTCCTGGGGTGTGTCCAGAAGCGGAAAAGGTGGCATTACTGCAAATTCTGTGGGTGCCCTCAAGTTGATCAGGGGGGTGACGAAAATTCGCAAAATCGGTAGGAAATTGTCGTTCTTCTGGGCAGTATCCCAGATTAACTTCTTGTAAGATGTCAGGGGGGCTCACAGAAGGTGGTCAGGAACTGGGTTAGCAGCTGTGCAGGGTGACGTCGAAGCCTGACTGGGGTTGCCCGTCCTAGTGGCTGGGGGTGTCGGTTTCTGGTGGGGGTGTGTAAGTGACACAGGGTCCACGGAGGCATCAATCGCAGCTATCTCGATTTCTTCGGCCTCGGGGGAGGCATCTACCTCCATGGGGGCATCGACTGCAGGGGTTATAGTGGCTCTTAGAGAAGCAGTGGCTGGTGAATTGTGGACCTCAACGGTAGTTGTGATCTTCTCCTCATTCTGGGCATCTCGTGACGCAGGGTGTGGAGTCTGGCTCTTCTCGAGGTTGGCGTTCTCCGTCGCAGGTGTCAAGGTGGTGTCCTCCTCGGGGTTGGCGTCCACGATCGCAGAGTGCGTCTTTATCTTCTCCTCGGGTGTGTCCTTCACGGACTCCTCTGTCTTCTTCTCTTGGATGTTATCTATAAATGAGGACGCAAGCGGAGAGATTCACTGATGTCATGATAACAGGCAAAAAAAAAGGTGTCTATTCACACGGTCCACGGTAAATTTTATCCTGGATATAGGGTATATTTTACCGTGGATATAAGGTAAGCAGTGGGGTACGTTAGGCCCATTTCTACCGTGGATAAAAGGTAATTCTTACCGTGGATATAAGATAAATCAGTGGTGTGCATCGGGCCCATTTTTACCGTGGATATAGGGAAGATTTTCACCACGAATATAAAGCAATTTTTTTTTACCGTGCATATAAGTGAGTGAATGGTGTGCAGTGGGTCCATTTTTTACCGTAGATGCAAGGGAGATTTTGCGGTGGATCGAAGGTAATGTCTAACGTGTATATAAAAGAGATGAGTGGTAAGTATTACGTAGGGAAATTGTCTCGTGGATCCAATTATATCGCGGATTTGAGCCGTTAAGGTTTCGAAGATCAGGGGAGCGATGACAAGGGTCAAACGAGAGAGGAAATCGCTGCAAAAATAGTGTGTTTGACACCCATCGGAATTTTAGATGTCAGACGGAGAAAAGACATCTGAATCATCATAAGTGTCTCAAAATGGTCTAGATGCTTGAAAATTTCAGATACAATTTGCATCTGAAAACGCTTCAAACATTTTTTTTGTCTGAAAAATTTCACACATTTATTTTCAGACAGTTTTTGCGTCTGAAATTCAGTTTTTTAGAAGTGATTCAGACATTTGACTCTTCAGACGTATTCTCTGTGTCAAACAGCTGACTGCATCCAAACACAAAAATTTCAGACAAATCTCCTGTTTGAATATATTTCGTTATTCATGATTTTATTAGTCAATTACTGAATTGATAATGACTGGATGAATTGATTTAAATTGACGAAGAATATATAGAGAATATGTATATTCGACAACGAAATCCTTCATATTAGTAAAGAATTATCAAGCTATTTTCTCTCCATTTCCATCCATTTTTGAAAAAAACAAGAGAAATCATTGATCAAAAAATTGAGTTAATTTCTATTCATCTTCATATTTATATTGCCGCTCAGTTGGCGCACGAGGTGCTCAGCACAGATCGACAAATCCGCGCGTTGTGCTATATGGCTTGTACGAGAAGAACAGCCTTGAAAGAGGTGAATATCCTGACGTTAGACGCTGCTCAAAACCGATAATATTCTCTAATTCGTTTTACGTACAGTCCATTGAGGAAAAAATTGTCGTTCGTTCCTTGTCTTGACGGTTTACATGAAAAGTGAGGTTAAGATCGATTGTTGTGGGGATAATTGTTCAGATAGAATACTATCAGTGGTGGAATGACACTTTTTTTTCGATGAAATGGGGGCAGAGAAGACTATCTTGATAATTTTGCATCGAGAAAGGACTCTTGAAATTTTTTTCCAACAGTTACTTATTATCGCAGCGATTTCACAATTAACACGACCTGGAGAATCGACTCGTCATGCGGTTTACTTCTTTGTCTTTGATTTTATCCATTTTTGTCAATTTTTTCTAGCTTCTCCATCACCCATCTATAACATTGAATGTTTATCTTCATTCATTCGAAGTTCATTCTTGTTATAATTTTCACTCTTCATTTACATTCAGTTTATGATGATAAAACTATAGGCCAGTCAAATTACGGTTTGGAAATCAAGGATGATAGAAGAAGGATAAAAACCATGGGATATCATGCGGAAGAATGATGTGAAACACATACTAAGTTTTTGGGATTGTAGCAAACCGGGAAATTGTTTAAAAAAAAATTAAAAACTGCAAAATTAAGCGTCCACGCGACCTTTTTTGCTTTAGGCCGACGAAACCGTGATAGATAGGATAAAAATGCATAATACTTAATTTGTAGAGCATAAAATTTTCTATAAAAAAATCAATGGCGGTATTTTCGTAATTTCAACCGTCAAGTCGCCAAGCGCGCTCAAAGTTGAACTACGAAAAAGCTGATTCGCCGCTAACGCCGAAAAGTCCATTTTAGTTGCAAAATGCAAATAATTTATGAAAAAGTTGATCAAAAAATCATTGAAAAATCAGGATGCATCTTGACCGTTCACAGAATGTCTCCAGGAGAGGAAATTTTTGAAAAAGATTTTTCCATTTTTCAGGAGTCTCCATTTTTCTCTTTTTGCTTCCGAATGGAAGCTTTGTAATCGTTCAAAATTAAGTTTCCAAATTNTTTTTGACCTTTTCACTCAACTTTCATATTTAACTTATCATTTGTTGATAAACTAAAAAAAATGCTGTTTTTTCAATATATAATCTGACTGGAAAAATTTTTGATTAAGCTCGGCAGCTTTATCCCAAACTTGAGTCATTGGGATGAATCTCGAATTTTTTCATATTTTTATTGGCATTTGGTAACGTAAATTCTGAATAATAAAAGGAAAAATTTCGATTTTTTTCAATGTCCAAAAATTCTTTGATTTAAAAAAAAAAATTTTGATTTCTTGGTATTTTTTCATATTTTCAATACTTAGTGAGCTATGAATTATTTTAAATTTAGGGGAATGTTGTCGTCGGGCGCGATGTACTCCACGCGCTTGATCTCCCCACTCGCCACATTCTCCGCATCGCGGAACATCTGCAAGCGTTTCCTTTGCTAATTTCCTCCAAACATATGAAAAAATTACAAAAAAAAATTTTGTTGACAATCAATAGTGCACAAACTCAATGGGAGCTTCTGTTTTGCACCTCTGTACTTATAGTGCTAATTTGATGAGAAATTATATTGATGAAAATAGTTATTTTCCAATTTGAATTTAAATAAGAGTCAAAATTTGTAGGCGCCAGGTCTAAATTAAGTTTCCTTGGAATTATTATACGAGAAAAAACTCTACGGATGCATCATGAGAAATTATTTGAACCCACTTAGGATGTGATTGTTAACAAAAAATTAGTTTTCAATTTTTTCATATTTTTGGAGGAAATTAGTAAAGGAAACGTTTGCAAAAGTTCCGCTACGCGGAGAATGTGGAGAGTGGGGAGATCAAGCGCGTGAAGGGGGGCGCGCCCCTCGACAACATTTCCCTAAATCTAAAATAATTCATAGCTCACTAAGGATTGAAAATATGAAAAAATACCAAGATATCAAAACATTTTTTAAAAAATCAAAGAGTTTTTAGACATTGAAAGAATGACAAAAATCGCACATTTTTCCTTTTATTATGAAAAATCTACGTCAACAAATGCCAAGAAAAATATGAAAAAATTCAAGATTGATCCCAATGACTCAAGTTTGGGATAAAGCTACCGAGCTTGATAAAAAATTTTTCCAGTCAGATTATATATTGAAAAAACAGCAATTTTTTTATTTTATCAACAAATAATAAGATAAATATGAAAGTTGAGTGAAAAGGTCAAAAGAGTGAAAATGGAGACGAGAGAACGAGAAAAAATCACCTTTTGTTCTTATAGCAATAAGATAACTGGATCAAAAGTTATGTTATGGCAAATTTTGGTTGAAAAATAAATAAAAAAGAGAAAAATGGGGACTCCTGAAAAATTGAAAAAGTTTTTAAACAAATTTCCTCTCCTGAAGACATTCTGTGAAGAATTATTTGCATTTTGCAACTAAAATGGACTTGTCGGTGTTGGCGGCGAATCAGCTTTTTCGTAGTTCAACTTTGAGCACGTTTGGCGACTTGACGGTTTAAATTGCGAAAATGCCGCCATTGACTCTTTTGTAGGAAATTTTATGCTCTATAAATTAAGCCTTATGCATTTTTATCCTATCTATCACGGTTTCGTCGGCGTAAAGCAAAAAAGGTCGCGTGGACGCTTAATTTTGCAGTTTTGAATTTTTTTAAACAATTTCCCGGTTTACTACAATCCCAAAAACTTAGTATGTATTTCATATAATTCTTCCGCATGATATCTCATGGTTTTTATCCTTCTTCGATCATCCTCAATTTCGGCCAAAAAAAAGTCCTTATGTGATTGGCCTTCTAACGTTGTTTGTCTCTCTCGTTTAACCCTGGTCGTCACCCCCCTGATCTTTGAAATTTTGAAGGCTTAAACCCATAATACAACTCGATCCGCGAGATAATTTCCCTACCCGATGATTACCACTCATCTCCCTTATATACACGGTAGACATCACCATAAATCCACGGTAAAATCTCCCTTGCATCCACGGTAAAAAGTGGAAACACTGCACGCCATTCACTCACCATATATGCACGGTAAAAAAAAATTACTTCCTATCCACGGTGAAAATCTTCCCTATATCCATGGTAAAAATTGGCCCGATGCACACCACTGATTTACCTTATATCCACGGTAAGAATTACCTTTTTCCCACTGTAAAACAATGGGCCTAACGTACCCCACTGCTTTCCTTATATCAACGGTAGAAATTACCGTATATCCACGGTAAAATATACCCTA